ATATATATGTATGTATATATATATATATATATGAATGTATATATATATGAATGTGTCATTATTGAAATACTCATGTTATTTTAGTTAAACTTTTCAAGTTTATTTACAACTAAATTGAGCAAGGAAAATTACTAATAAACATGTTTATATATAGAATATAAAATCTATATAACTTTTAATTTGCATTTTAGACAGCAAAATCACGTGGCAAACTGATTTTGGAGTTTTGAATAGATATACTGGCTATTTTTGCTTTGTTTTTTTATATTTCTGTTAAATTTTTATATGTAAATGGAAACCACTTATACTTTTATCACCCTGTGTACTATCAGGACGGTTGTCATTTGCATTAAGTCTCGATTGCACAAACAATAGGTTTAAAAATTTATTTGCCTAATTCCGCAGTGAAAACAGCTTAATTGTATGAGTTTGTAAAGTGTTTTTTTTTAGAGAAAGGCTTTTATAAAAAATATCAAGCAGATAAAGCTAACTTAATTGAAATATTTAGGTCTCTTTTGGCTTGGCCCATTTTTCAATGTCTAAATTTTTTTTTTAAACAAATCCATATCACGGTAGTTTAATATTTAACAATAGCGGCATTTTATAATGCGCATGCGCAACTTTTATTAAAAAAAAGATTGTTGTTTTGTTTTTATTTAGTAATTTTTTTTTTAACCATATCCTTAAAAAGTAGCTCATAGCTTTGCTATAAAGATGTATAATTGATATCCCATTATTTAAATTGATTTAAATATGGCGATGGATATGTATTTTTTTACAAAATTTAAATTTTTAAATTTTAGAGTCTCTAAATACGCGGGAAACTCAGACTTGAATATATAGCTATGTATACTGATAAAACTGGATAATTAAGCGCTTATTTAAATTTTTTGGCTTTAAAACCTAATATATTTTAAAACAAGAAGAGTTTATCTATATATTAAAAAAAAAATTAGACTTGGGTTACTTTTTTAAGTTTAAAAACAGTGTACATTAAATCCTATTATTTAGCTATAAATAAATATAAAAATGACTGAGTCTCATATAACAAAACTAAAAAAATTATGTCGAATATGCGGAGAAAAACTTGGAAATCGTAGTGTTCCTTTAACAAAGCATGTAGTTAGAATAGAATTGAATTTTTTTATACGAATCGACGAGGATGACCCAAAGATGCACCCACAGAAGATGTGTTACAGATGCTTTACAATAATGAGAAAAATAGAAAAAGGTTCAAATACTGATCTTAAATTAAGAACTTGGATTAGCAATTGCCAGAAAGATGAATGTATTTGTTTCAAAGTAAATAAAGGAAGGAAACCAAAGAAAACTGTAAAAGGAAGGCCCTTATATATTGTGAATGAAGAAATTTGGACTCGACAAGCAATAAATAACATACAAGCTAAACTTTCATCTCTACCAAATTTAAATCTGAAACTACAAGACATTAACCAAAAATTAAACCCACATGTACATCTTTGTGTCTGTTATATTTGTAATGGTATTATGTATAAACCAGTTATTTTAAAAAACTGTCTGCATTCGTTTTGTGCACCATGTATATTACCACTAATCAATGGTAAACTATTATTTAAAACAAAATGCCCTAAATGCTCCTTTTCAATTTCAATTGATGGAATAACCTCCTCTAGCAATGTTATTGAAATGATAAATAATATTCAAGAAGAATGTAAGCAACATTGCGGTAGATTATTTAAAGTGTCACAACAATCAGAACGCTTCAACCATCAAAATAATTGTCAGACTCCAATACCAATTTCCACAACCTTGTCAACACCCTCATCACAAACAACTCTAACAGATATATTTGCATTAAATTCAACAAGTGTTATCACAAGGGATATTGATGCTGTTGCACTTCATATTATTAAACAAAAAATGTTGCAAACAACATCCAATGTAATAGAATTTCAGACAGATGGACCAAGGGTAAGATTACTTTAGTAAAAAATTACTATTACAAAATTATTCAACTTTTATTTTAATAAACTATAATAACATATAAAACGTTCACAAACTACATAGTATTTTAGCCTTTATGCTTCACATCAACACCAAAAGCCTATAAAGACAGTAAAGATGCAACTTTACGAACAGTTCGCAAATTACAATCACAGTTAAACGATTACATAAGCACAACATGTGGTGGAAGCATTAAGTCCAAAATCAACCAAACCACTACTCTTTTGAAATCATTCAATGAAAATGAACAAGAAATTATTCTAAGTAACTCAAATATTTCAAAAACCAAAATATCAGCTGAAGAAATAATAAGTTTAAAAGCTAACATGAGCAGTACTTATGCCAACATGAAAATATTATCTAGGTAAACAAAATTAAAACTATTGTATAAAAATCTAGAAAAAAATGTATTGAATAAAAATCACAACCTTTTCAAAAAAACAAATGCATTATTGTTTTAGGTGGTTGAAAACCAAGAACATCATTTGTGCTTCAAACGCACAACAAAGAAGCCTGGCTAAGAAATGGTCATGTGATGATCTTATTATTGAAAAAGCTCCATTTATGGTTGAAAAAAAGGAGTCCAAAGGTTCTTTTGAAATAAAAGAATTGCCATGTGCTTATATTAACAATCTGCATGGACATATAATAAATGTGCTAGATAGATTAGAAAGGTAAAAACAAATCTTGCTTATAAAAGTACTTGTATTATATCTTTCTTTAACAATTTCTGACTTGGAAGGTTTAGATATAATACTACAAAAAAATACAAAAATAAATTTATTTGGCACACATTCAATATAAATAAAAAAATCAGTTCTAAAATTTCATTTTCTATAATATATTTTAGCAACAACTTACTATTGAACAAAAAGATTAAAGGCAATGAAATCCATATAAAAATAGGAGGCGACCATGGAGGTGGCTCGTTCAAAATGTGTTACCAAGTAGTGAATGTAGAGAAACCTAATGCAAAAACAAACACAACTGTCTTTAACATATTTGAAGCAAGTGATTGTAAAACAAATCTGAAGTTTTCACTGTCAAGATTTAAATCAGAAATCGATTTGTTGCAAAATACCATTTGGAGGTAAGAATATGTTACAACCAACTAAATAATCAAAATATTTAAAACAAAATTATTTATGTTGTTTGTGATTAATTTGAACCTATATAACTATTTTCAAATGTAGAGAAAAACAGATTCGTGTATTTTTATTTGGTGATTACAAATTCTTGTGTGCAATCTATGGAATAACTGGTGCAACTGGTAAGTAAATATTTAATATATACATATCCATTTAAAAACTCATATGGAGCATATTCCTGCTATATGATTGATTTTGTTTTTTAAGTATTGAACTGTTTGATAACCTCAGGTAGACACCCATGCCTGTTTTGCAACATCACAAGACAAGGAATGTCAACTCCAATTAAGGACAACATTGAAACGCGATCACTTGAGACACTAGATTCACATTTAGAAAAATATAAAAATCATGGTTCAGATCCCAAGTTTGCCAAGCTATGTGATAATGTTATTGACCAAAGGTTATTTAATGTGCCACTTGATCAGGTACTTTGCTTTAAATAATTATTTTCCAACTAACATCCGTAACTTTTATTTTAATTACAACAAAAGTGATTGTTAACAATAATTTAATATTTTTATTGCAATTTAAGATCGGAATTCCAGCATTACACATCTCACTTGGTACGTATTTAAAATTCTTCAACATGTTAGAAGACTCTTGTCATACAATTGATGTCAAAATTGCAGGTCGAATGGCAGTAAATAACCAAACACTTGAAGACTGTGAAGAGTTTAACAAATATATTGAGAAGCAGCGTCAAATAAAACAACTTCAGATAAGTATTCAGGATCTTGAAAATAAAACACGTATCATAACAGAAGCACTTGAAACTCACATATTATCTAACCCTGAAAATGAAGAATATATAAAGTTAGTATTTGAACCACGCATAATTCACTTTGAAGAGAAAAAAAAAGAAAAGGTAAACATTTAAAATGTTATTGTTCACTAAAAATATAAATCATAAACAATACATTTTGCTTGGATCCTAATAGATGTTATTTCTAACATTTTATGTTTTGGTATTTTTTATTTATATTAGTATTTTGTATTTATAAGAGAATCAATAGCCATATTTATATTCATAGATCTCAGAATTGGAAATAATGAAAGAAACTGACCATGTAAAGATGTCATTTGGTCCACTAGTAAATAAACTCGACGAGGTACTTAATTTGTTAGGAGTGCAAAGACAAGCATACCATGGGAAAAGTTTTGTTGGTAACCATGTTAACAAAAGGTAAACTAATCATTTAGTTCTTAAATATAGAGTAGTATATTCATTAATTACAAATTAAGAAAAAAGTATATATATATAGGTATGATCAGTATGTATTTGCTTATATGTATATCTAATATATATATATATATATAAAAAGTGTAATTTAACATATATAACTTATTTGATTTAAAAAACATTATTAGATGAAAAGTATCCTCGAACTATGCAACTCAATACCAAAGCTCGTAGTCGAACTTGGGTTCAAGGATACTGACATACATAAAGAAACTATTGAACTTTGTCAGAACTTTAAAGTCCTATTTGATAAGTTTGGGGTTTGCCACAAGCTTATTAACTCCTGCAAGCAGTTCAATGAAGAAAACATTCAAAATCTTGGTATGACATGTAATATTATTATTAAGTATATATATATATATATATATATATATATATATATATATATATATATATATATATATATATATATATATATATATATATATATATATATATATATATATATATATATATAATATTACATAATATTTATATATAATTGTTTACAGAAAATCGTATTGAAGATTTTATGAAATACTTTCGTGATAACTGGCCAAATGAATCAATTACACCTAAGCTTCATATGCTTGAATATCATGCATCATCTTTCATTAGGAAATGGGGAGTAGGACTTGGTACATATGGAGAACAAGGTGCAGAAAGTATTCATGCTGAATTCAACAGCATGAAGAGTACCTACTGGCACATGAAAGGAAAACGTAAACTCAAAAGTATAATGGATGAACACTTATTAAAAAACCATCCAACAGTAAAAAAATATCAACAAAAAGCTCTGCCTAAAAAGAGGAAAATTGAAGATACTTAAAATAATCTTATAAAACAATGCAAAAGAGTTTTCAGGAAATAAATGGCAGTATTATGGCGTAAATATTATTTCTGCCAGTATTTTTAAACCTTCAGATAAAAAGAAAAATTGTCAATTTTTAAAAGCATTAAATTATAACAAAAAAAAGTAACCCAGTTATAATTTTAGCTTTAAATGATTCACACACTACTATAATTTCAAAAAAAACTAAAGGTAATGGCTAAAAAATTTACAATTTTAAAATATAGGCCATAATGTAAGCACAGGTTAAACATTCCCAAAAAAAACAACAAAGTTTCACTTTAGTTCCACATCTTCTTTTCTCCTAAAATTATTTAAATGATAGCTTTGGTAAAATCTACCATACCTAAAATATTGTTTTGACATTATTTCTTAGAGATAATTTAGCATTATCCACATATAATTAAAGTTTGAAGTGTATACAACTTTAGTGAGAAATCCCTTTTTAACCGCGATCGCTTATGTTTACAAATATTTGAACAAAATTTGACGCATGCGCGTGTTAAAAGTCCATTACTAAACCACCGTGATTTAAGAGAGTTAAAATAATATCATAGCATAAGTTTCCAAAAACACCTGAAGAATTGATCAACTGTCTTATATGCTAAAGATACTTTTATTCTTTTATTATGTGAAAAATATTAATGTAATAATAAAAATACTAAATAATTCTTAAGTATGGTAAATTAAAAATTAACCAGAAGCCAAGAACTGTGCAGCCGTCGCGCAGTGATTAGAGTTCTGGCTCAGAATCCAGAGATCCGAGGTTCGACGCCAGCTCTAGCCAAACAAGTGACATTGGTACGGAAGGAGGCGTGAACTTCCCGCTAAATGCTCTCCCGCGGTGCTCTATGATAAGACCGTAAGGACTTCTGGGAGCACCTAAATACATACAATAAAAAAAAAAAAAAAAAAAACTTCATGTATTCAGTAAAATGCTAACTGTGTACTTTTAGCGAGCCAAGACATTTTATTAAGCACAACAGTCATAATATTTAAAACAATTGTTCATCAAACCGTATCGTACATGACAGCTAGATATGTTACGCAACTTTCTTATACACTAAAGATACTTTTATTATGTAGAAAAGTAAATAAGTAAATGTAATAAGTAAAAATACTAATAAGTACTATAGTATAGTAAGTTAAAAGTTAACCAGAAGGCAGGAATTTTAGGTAATCAGAAAAATGCAAACTGCTTACTTTTTAGCGAACCAAGACATTTTAATGACCACAACAGTCATGATATTTAAATCATTTGCTCATCAATTTTTTAAATTAGATATAATAGTATTCGATATATTTTATTTAAATTAGACTATTATTTTATTTAAATTTTCTTTTAAATTAATTATTATTTAACAAGCAATAGATTTAACGGTTTGCAATAAAAGTTCGCATTTTACCAACTACCAGAACTTTAAACTGATTTATTTTTTGCCGTTTACTAAAATAAATTAAAGTATAAAGACTAAGGAACAAGTTTAGAAATTGTCGGGTGTGAATGAGATTTTCTAAGACCCGTATCGTACGGGTCATACCATCTTGTATTATAAAACTGATAAAAACTGCCAGATTGAATGCAAAATACCGTCAGATTAAATGCAAAAATTGCCAGAATAAATAAAAAAAACCACCAAATTTGTGCAAAAAAACACCAAAACTAAATAAAAAAACCGGTATATTCAAGAGCTGTAATTGTGTTCTGAATATCTAGTATATCAAAACTTGATATACTAGATATTCAGAACTTGATATACTAGATAGCATATTCAGGACTTGATATACTAGAACCACTATATTAATTCATTCTGAATTAAAATAGTGATTTTTCTCAAAAAAGAATTATTTACAACCCGGCTCAGAATGGGCAAGCTTAAAGTAAAATGGAATTTTTTAGAAATCTCTTGAACTTACTCTAAAATTTCAAAATCTGCTTATAAAGTTGCGGTAAAGAGTAATAAAACTTTAACTGATAAACTTTATGTCACAAGATTTCTGTTATGCATTTTTACTAGTTGTAGTTTATACAAACGTCTCTTTCAACGAAGATCATCATTTGGATTTTAGTTTGTAGATTTAATTTTAAATTGGGCGGAGGTGTATTTGATTCACGGGGTTAGGCGAGGGTAGCATTTCTTAGTTAATTTCAATTAAAAAACGGCTAAAACTAATCATCGTTTTAATCACACGTGAATCAAATACACCTCCGCCTTAAATTGTGTATTCGTACTTCTTTTTAAATTATGGATGTTTCTAAGTATCAATTAAAATGTGCCTCGAGAATTAGAAGTTAAAAATTAAAAGTCTGGAATGGACATTTAAAAAAATATGCAATGATAGAAAAAAAAGCACTTATTTGCACATACTGCAATGCAAAGTTTCTCACACAAAACTCTACTCGGGCTAAAAAACATTTAGTTACAGATTGTCGTAACTCACTGTTACGACAATCTGTAACTAAAGTTTGTCAAAACAAAATTTGCAGCTGATGTTTTGAAACAGAGTTTTGCGCCTAAAACTAAAAGTGGAATAATACTTATAAAATCTTTATCTGAACTTGACACAAATGCAAGTAATAATGAAGGTGCATCAGGTATAATAAGCAACTCGTGCGACAACAACCTTATCAGTTTTGTAAAAAAGGTAGGCAACAATTCCACAATAAGTGTGATTGCTAATGACTTACATTCTGATCTACCAGAGTGTTCTTTTTCAAAATCTTTTGAAAAAGAAAAAGCTGCCAGTTCAACTTCTATTTTATCTCTCAATCAAAAACCTATATCATATTTTTTTGATAAAATATCAGCACAAGAGTGTGATGTAATAAATACACAATATGCAAAAGCGATTTATGCAACAGCTAGCCCTTTCAGCATGTCAGAAAATACATTTTGGATTATCTTTTTTAAAAAGATTCGACCTGGTTGGTCACCTCCCAAACGTTATGCTCTGAGTCATAATCTTTTAGATACAGTATATGACCAAATAAATAAATTCAAACAAGAACTGATATCCCAGGCAGAAATATTTGCCCTCATGATTCTTGTATAAATAATAATTCACACATACAGATTATGTTAGCTACTCCAACTCCAATATACATAAAATGTATTCATCCAAAAGAAAACTCCCACACCGGAAAATACCTATTTGATCAAATGGTTGAGATTGTTGAAGATGAAAATGTTATACCGAACAAGAGAAAAATAAAAGCTATTTGCACTGACAATGCATCGGCCATTGTGGCTGTTTGGAAGTTGATAGAAAATAAATATGATTGGATGTCAGCATATGGCTGTTTTTCTCACGGTCTAAACTTATTAGCTTGTGACCTAGTAAAGAAGAACAACACAATTTCCGAAACACTAAAGCAAAATAAACAAGTAGTTGAGTTTTTCAAAAATAAACATGCTTTAAAGAGTATCCTTGAGCGCTGTAGTCTACATTCTCTGAAAAAAATTTGACTTTAATTCTTCCTGTTGTAACTAGATGGTCATCTCAGTTTTCAATGTTACAGCGCAGTTTGCGCCTTTGTGACTCATTGCGATTAGTAGTAACTGATGAGAAAGCCCAAGAACATATTGAAAAACACAATAAAAAAAAAGAAATTAACCTTAAAGAATTAGTGTTAAATAAGTTATTTTGGAAAAAGATTTAGCTTACAAACTTCTAAAACCTGCATCAGAGATTTTGGAATCATAGTTTGATACAGCATCTGTGTCTATTGTAGCACAAGTCTATTCATATGTGACAGCTGAAATATCTGATGTGTTACAAAACACAACACTGCTGACTTTACAAGAAAAAAAGAGTATTATTACTTGTGTTAAAAATCGTTAAGACTTTGTCATTAGACCAATACACTTTGTAGCTAATTTGCTTGATCCAAGATTTGCTGGTTAAGAGTTAAATCTTTAAGAAATGAGCTGAGCAGCATTCAGAATAGCTGAAAATGAAACACTAGCTGCTGATGTTATATTGGATGAACTAATGAATTTTAAAGCTCGTAGTGGAATATTTAGCCAGGATAGTCGCAGCTATATTTGGAAGCTTAGTGTAGAGTGTAATCCAGTTGTATGGTGGACAGCATATGCACCAACAATATTATTGAGCAGAGTGGCGTTGATATTATTATCTTGTAGCTGCAGCATTGCATCTGCTGAGCGTGCAAGCAAAGAATTTTTATTGCAAAAATCTAAAAAGCGAAATCGTTTAACTGATACAAGAGCATCAAAGCTGTTAATTATTGCTTATAATTTGAAAATACAAAATAGATTACTAAAATGTAATTCTAAAAAGAAAAAACACTTATGTTTAGAAAAAAAAAAGATTGATGATAAAAACAATGCAATCCAATCTTCTAATCTAAGCTTAGAAAGCTTCTAATCGCTCAATGATAATGATGATGAATATGACAGTGAGTATTTAAGTGATGACAGTGTTGATTTTCACATACCTTCAAGAAAGATTAAGCATTAACATTTAACAAGACCTAGTATTTTATTATATTGTGATAGAAAATCTGTAGCATAATTTAAAAAAGATTTTAAAAGTTCATTTAATAAATTCAATTTATTAAGTTGCAAGAAATGCAAGAAAATTTTTTGCAAGAAAATGCAAGAAAATTTTTTTTTCGGTTATTTAAAAATAAAAAACAAAAATCATCCCAAAACTTTGCTTGTGTTTTTCCATTCCTATATATTTTTACAGGAAATATACTAAAATTATATAACTTTAAAAAGGATTACCAGTATAATTATTTCCAATTTTGTTTATTATCTAAGAGTAGATTAGTAAATTAGAAATAAAAAAAATTGAAAATTTCCGGAAATTTTAAGCAAAATTTCCAGAAAGTTTTCCGGAAATTTTCCGGAAAATTTCCAAAAAACTTCCGGAAATTTTTAACACTAATCAAGATACTTTGGTGATTGATCAGGAAACAATGATCTTGCGGTATTGACATGGAGAGGACGTGAAAGAGCGATTATATGCGGTAAAAAATTTACGGATGCAACAGATGCAGGACTATACCAACTATTGAAACAGGTAGCGCTAGAACAAATTTTTAAACCTTATGATGCTCCACAAATAAAATTGTTTTATGTTCTTTTGCAAGCTTTTAATTGTATTAGGATGTC